GGGGGGGGGGGGGGGGGGGGGGGGGGGGGGGGGGGGGGGGGGGGGGGGGGGGGCGATATTGGCAGACGCTTGTGGCCTAGAGCTGCCTGGAGACAGACGTCGTCCGACTCTACCTGTAAACGGTGTTGCTTTGGGGTGAGTTCACACACAGAACAGAGGACCCAAAGCGGTTAAACTGGAAACCAGGTGCGAGTGATCTCTTCCAGCTCTTAAAAGCAATGCGACCCATGCACGTGTATTTTCCCAGCTTTCTGCCGTGAAGAAGAGGCCTCAACCCCCCCTATTTCCCCCCTAATCGGGTTTTCGTCGCTTGGCAACGACGTTGTAAAACAAGCCAATTCACTTCGTGAACTCGGCAACCAGCTTACCGTTTTTTTTTTACCTCTGTTTTTGTTTTTTGGCGGTAACCATAATGGTGGTCGAGTAGATCATGTTGTGCGGGGTGGAGAACCCTCACTCCGCGCAAGGGGGATGATCGCACCACGTTGTGTTAAAATGGTCAAGCACCCTCGAGGCAGTTACACAGTGCTTACAACTGTCTCTGGAAGTGAAAGCACCAGAAAATAAATTAATTCATACGCAGCTGTCATCCGTACGCAAGGAAGTAAGCACAAGATGCCGAACACCCTTAGCAGGATGCAGCGCACCCTTCATGCGACTCGCCGAATATCTCACGGCGCTTCGCGCTTGGTGATGTGAGAGCCTGGTCCGGTGAGAACCCGGCGTGCTCCGTCCCGGCTTTGTAGGGATGCGAGGTCAATGGTCTAATGACTACGGCATGCACGACTATGAGTACACCCCCACCCCCCCCCCTATACGGGTATCCGTGTTTCAGCGTGCTTCAACACGATTGGTCGCGCGAAGGCTGGTGTCTAGGGTTGTAGCTCCAGCGTGGAGCGCATGCACTGCTCACGGGCCTGATGGCGACGAGTCATCATGGAGACCGCTCGTAGAAAGCGAGGCTCCTCCTTCGCTCCTCCCCTACCACCGCATGCTCACGAATACGTACCGTACAGAGGGCACGCATTTTTTCTGGCAGAACGGGCATTTCGCCCTCAAACCAACTCGTTGTGTTTCTCTCTTTTTCTGTCGCTGGGCTTTCCACGGCGATACGAACGCTTGCCCTTTCTCATTGCCCACCTCTCCAACGACGGCCCTCTTGGTTTTGTTCCCTGTGGCCAGGCTCGATGTCAGACCTACGAAGGAGGGTTCGGGGGGGAGCCGTGGAACGAGGTGAGATCAGTCCTTAGGTGAAACGCACACCCTTCTACATGACCGTTGCCACACAGCTCTCGCCCTCGGTGTATGGTACAGTAGGCGCTCAACAACGCCGCTTGAATCACGTCAGTGGCCTTGTAGAGCGCCTGAGCGCACACTGATCACCAAGCTCTGCTGTACTTTGAATAGCGCCGGTCGATTGGCCGGGCATATTCCAGCGTCATTGAGGGCCCCCCGCTGTAGTTTTAACTTTGGTTTGGTCCGAGCGTTGGCCAGCTGCCGAATTGTTGCTGCGTTACCCCGTAAAGACCCCCTCCCCCCCGCTTTCTGGGGGCTGAGATTCTTCTTGATGCCATATTTGATGCCTTCGGAACTATCGTTGGTTAAGCAAGCGTTGGCCAGCTCCCCAATTGTTGTGCTAGCCCAGGGAGACTCTCCCCCCGCTTGCTGATGGCGAAGCTCGCCCTTGATGTCTTCCTCAACCTCGCGGGAAGCAGCCAAGACGTCGAAAGTTTGCCATGCATCAATGATATGCCTAGAGCAGAACGGCCGAGCAAAAAGTCTACGTTTGTTTTATTTCGAAAACACATCATTTCAGCCTCCGTGTACTTTTGTACGTCGTCAACGACATTCTGGACGTAATCTTAGAAGGGAAGCAACCTGCATCTCAATTCAATGATAACGGCGGGATATTCTCCAAGCAAACTTCAAAACGACACACGCTCTCGCCACACTTGCTCAAAGCGTTTGGCCGCTCTGCGTGGCACGCCTTCATCGTTGGCCGAAACTGGCATCGCGGCACCCCTTCCCGCCACGCTTGCTCAAACCGTTTGGCCGCTCTTGCGTGTATTCCTGACATGCCTTCGCCTTGGACGCATGGTGACGGCAGGCGCACGGCGGTTACACTTTCTGCGCTTTCGCGTCTTTGGTTATTCTCGGGGCGGGCCAGAGAGCAGACCTGGAGGGGCTCCGTCACTGGCTTTGCGCTCGACAGATGCGCGCGGNACTGTGTAACTGCCTCGAGGGTGCTTGACCATTTTAACACAACGTGGTGCGATCATCCCCCTTGCGCGGAGCGAGGGTTCTCGACCCCGCACAACATGATCTACTCGACCACTATTATGGTTACCGCCAAAAAAAAAACTGAGGTAAAAAAAAACCCGGTAACCTGGTTGCCGAGGTCACGAAGTGAGGCGGCTTGTTTTACAACGTCGTTGCCAAGCGACGAAAACCCAACCTCGATGGCAAACACCGGGGGGCTGGGGGGAGAAGGGGGGTAAAGAAATAGAGACGAGTTGTGTTGCTGGCGATTGTGCAAGCGAGTAGAGGGAGAACGGAAGAGAAATGCAGATGCGACACGTTCGGTGGTGGTGTGTAGGCGTGGGGTTAAACACAATGGAAGGAGGAAGAAAGGGAGAGAGAGGGACAGAGAAAGGGGGAGAGAGAGAAAGAGGCGGAGAGACAGAGACAGAGACAGAGACAGAGAAGCAGGGCAGGCAGACAAACGGAGAGGCGCTGGGTACGAATTGCCTTGGATTTGTATGACTACATATTGCCGTTACAGATTTATCGCTAGGCCACTAATAATGGGGTGATCCCGGGGTGATTGTCACGGCCAGGTTCCAGGGGCGAACCAACAAGCTAGTGGACGGCTGCTACTCCTTCTGGCAGGGCGGGGCCGTGGCCATCCTCGACTACGTTACCGCAGGCCGCGAAAGCGAGGTAGGTGGTGCTTGCTGATCATGTCGCATCGTCCAAAGTTGCGTTTGTCCACACGGACAGTTGCAGTTATATATCCCAAAGGGTTGAAGGAAACATTGATTTATGGCCACATCCTTCCCACGTTGCCTTGGCCCCACATGGATAGTTCCAGTTATATACCCCTGAGAGTTGAGAAAATATTTGTGTATGGCCAGATGGAAGCGTGGAAGTGTTGCTTTTCGGCACACAGGGGGACTTGCACTGCTTCGCTCTGAGGGGGGTCCGAGACGTTAAACGCACATACCACCCAGATCGAGCCTGTCTAAGTGCGAATGAGGCCGGGTATGTTTGGAGTCTGTGGCGCCGATGTCTCGTTTTTACCTGAAGCGACTGACGTCGTGATGATACTGTTCCTCTCGCTGTCGCCAATGCTAAGCTCTGGGCTTCTTCAGTTTGGAAACAGCAAGGCTCTATGTGTGTTAGGGTTGTTACTAGCATCGACCGCGCTGACCGGCTGACCAATGAAAAGACGTCAGTTTCAGTGCTGCTGCTGAAAACATAAATGTTTCTTACGGCTGTGTGTGTGTGTGTGCTTACTACGCATGTGTTTGAAGGTGAGCCACCGAGACTCATCCGGGCGTCTGTTGGTGGCAACGACAAGGGCGACCGCACCGCCACAGCAGCAGCACACTAACGGGGACGTCTCCAGAAGAGAAGAAACATCAATCGGCGGAGACGGTAACGGGGGACAGGGTTTGCAAGACACGGAGCCCCCAAAGGTGGGGGTAAGGGCGGAGGAAAGCGCGGTGGGAACCGTCGAGGGGGGAGGGGACGGCGTGCGAGAGATGGAAAACCTGGAGGTCGAGGGGGAGGGGGGAGGGGACGGATTACGAGAGGTGGAGATCCTGGAGGTCGGGGCGGACGAGGACGGGGACGGGTTGGTGTTCTCGAGGAAGAGGCTCCAGGAGTACGTGCTCATGTGCTCGCAGCAGTCGGACGGCGGCTTGAGGGACAAGCCCGGGAAGTGAGGCCGGGGACAAGGGGGGGGGTACTCATGGTTGTGCGTGCCGAAGTCGTTAGACCATTGACCATGCGTCCTAATGAAATCGGCGGGGGGGGGATGCGATGCGTCGTGTTTTTCGTTTTCTCCCTTCAGTCACTCCCGTTATCCATGCCTGTCTGTAAAAGAGTCTCAGGAAGCAGTTGTTATATCAATGTTCCTGTACAAGGGTTTGCTCGACGTGGAACTCTTTTTTTTTTTCGCGTCGAGTCGGACCCCCCAAGTCCCGTAGCCCACAAACACTCTCCATCCCCTCCCTCCCGACACTCACACACACCCCTGCTCCCTCCCATATCGTTTGTCGCGTCCACAGGCCGAGAGATTTCTACCACACGTGCTACACCCTCAGCGGATTGTCCGTCGCGCAGCACTGCCTTTCAAGCAGCCCGACGGTCGTAGGGAATTCTTCCAATTTGCTGGTGAGCTTCGTCCATCACATTTTGTCGTTGCAGTTGTTGTTTCTTTCCCTTGCATGGAAGTGCGCATCCCTGGAGCACGTTTTTTTTTTCATCCGTTTGGATCAGCATTACTACCGTGTAGGATCCATGGTCAAGTCACACAGAAGGGTTCTACCCCCCCTCAGGCTCCCTTGCTACCCCTCCTGCGGTGATTGCCTTCGATTTTCAACCCGAGAATGGTGCGGCGCTCTCTTCCCTCATTACTGCTCATGGAAAAGGAAAAGAGCCTTCGCCTGTATCATACGCCCCAAACTCGTTCCAAGACATGCGTTTGCGCTGACATGCGCGTGAAACGGGATCAGGGGCGGCGCAGATGACATAATCTTGAGCAAAAATGTCTTTTCAAGCTTCGACCTTCGGTGTGCTCTGTTGTGTAGTGTTTGCAACAGGCCGAGACGTATTGTTTATGTTTTGCACCCGTTTTTTTTTGCATGCGACCGATGCTCTGCGGTCCTCTTTGGCACGGTGAAACTTCCTTGTCCGCAGAATATAAGAGCAGGGTGATTGGTCCTCGCGATATCTCTTGAAAAATGATCACGTCAACTCATCTGATACAGCAGCGGTAGAACAAGATCACGCGGGTATTGGTTCACATTTCCACCAGAGAGCTCATCTTCCTTGATCACCGGAAAGCTGGCATCAACTTTTTTGTCTCTCTCATGCCCCGTACCCCTTCCTTGCCGCTCCCCCCTCTGTTTTTTTTTTTTATCCGCACGAGAACGGCAGAGACCGACCAATCCCGTCTACAACATCGCGGATGATAAGGTTTTGAGAGCGATATATTATTTCCAGGCGTTGCCGTCCGACCACGCCACGCTTACGGGGCAAACACGGGCTTGATCTTTTTTCGGGGGCACGATGGACAAGATCCGTGCTCTCTGTATGTATTTTTATTAGTAGCGTCGACCGCGCTAACCGGCTGATGAGTGAACAGACGTCGGTCTCACTGCGACTGAAAACACAGTGCTTGCAAAGGCCATGAGCTGGGACCCCGTGGGGGGCGTCATGTTTGTGTTTGTGTTGTTAGCATCGACCGCACCACACCAGTAGTAGCAGATGCAGCCTTGTGGATGAAGGAACACCCCCAAGTCTCGGCGGGGGGGACACGAAACTCCCAACAAAACAACCCACACTTTTCTGTGCCGTTGTGGCTGCTGTGTGTGCTCTGCGTAAGATCAAGGTGGGGGGAGGGGGGCAAAGTTCGCGCACCGCGCTGAATGCGAATGCCGAAACTAATCTATCTGCGTGTGTGCGTTTGTGTCGGTGTTTCTGTAGTTTTGAATCGACCGCGTTAACCAATGAAAGTTGGCCTCAGTTATTGCGGACGGGTGTGCGTGCGTCATGGTGTACAGTTATTGTAAGAGAAATGGCGCTGAACATTGCTTAATTAGTAGTTTTTGGACTCCAAGGGAAGATGTTTGTATGTGTCGCTTCCGCCGCGCCGCCTCTTGGTGCGGGCTGTTTTTTTTTTTTTGCTTGTTTTCGCCGAAGTGCTTCGTTGACTAGTTGTTGTTCTTTTTTTTGCGACGAACTAAAAAGGCACCGATCGTGTGTTAATCAGTCATCGTTGGCTGTTGCCGGGGATTTGATCTATGTGAATGACCAAACAACTTGGTTGATTGTGAAGTATTGGTTAACCAATCCTGTTCGGAGAGTCGAGTCTTGTGTGTCTCCTCGGTATTGCTCCAGAACAAAGAGTGAGTGTAGTGCCGCAAGCCTTCTTCTGCGTCTCGTGCGCGTTGCTAAGTTCTTCGAAGACCTTCGCTTGCCTTCTTCCCCGGCTCTCGGTTTCCCCGCGAACGGCACGACACAGCTGGTGGTGGTGGCATGGCCGAATTGGGACCGCGCCCAAGTGGGCGGAGACCTCTGTACAGCCCGTGGGGTGCAATGTCCATACGTAACCCTAGCGTTTGTTAGTTAGGGTTAGCAACCGTAGCCCAAACTAACCTTTCATGCTTGTAGCAACAGCACTCATGCATCGGTGAACAACTATCCTCCGTCAGGTCCTCTTTCCGTCAGGTTGGGGTTTGTTACGGTCGAACCCTAACGACCCCACATCCATGCATGCTTTTAGCAGCAGTTCTCTCTTTTTGCATCATCGGCGAGCCGTCCTCTTCCGCCGACTGCTGCTAGCAGCTGTGTTTTTTCATGGTAGTATGCAGGGCAGGGGGCGCGGGCGGATTTTTTTTTTGCAGTTGTATTTTTGTTTTTTGCACAACAACGGCAGCACGACAATGAAGCAGCCGTGGAGAGGCTGAGACCATCAGAGGTGGGGTGTCTTTTTGGCGATTGATGTTTCACGATGAGGACATTGAAGCCGCTACGTTACACAGACCAAGGTGTGCATTTTGTTCTTCGCAACCTGTTGATGGGCAAACCAAAATCATACGTTCGTGCTGCACTCATACACACCCCATAAACACTCGCAATTTTGGAGTGCTCGAGTTTCCAGATTATGATGCACACTGCAAATTGACCGTATCCCGACCCCCCCCCCCCCCC